CAAAAATCTTTTATTTTTCATTTTGTTTTCAATCTGTATTAAAATTGGGTGTCATATTGTTATTAATGATAAGTGTTTCTATCTATCAATGATCCATATCAATAGTACACTATTATCTATAAAAAATTAAACTGACAAAAGGGGGCGCCACACCTATTCGCCTATTCGCGGGGCGGACTCTATTAGACTATTGCAACTATTGGTACTTGCAACTATTGGTACAGGTACCTGTACATTTATAATTTAGTGTTGATTTCAGTTGAAGTGTTGAAGTCAGAGTATAATATAATATCCACAAATTTCGGGAGAGCAAAGTTCATATTCCCCACAAATGCCCCGCATGAAAAATATAATTGAATACTATTTATTTATTCTCCGTATTTATTATATTATATTATTATGGCTATAAATCCATCGCTTAAACATATATCAAAGAGAAATTCAAAATATCACCACCTATATTAAGTTATGCTAATGTTAGAAATTATACATACATAAGCTTAAGCCCTTAGTCCCACGGAAGGGTTAGGCAAAGACCACGGAACGCCACTTTGCTCTATCCTGACACAACTCTCGAGCCCCACACACATCAACTACACTTTTCGTACAACTTCTTTTATTTTGTCACTTCGCATCCCAGCCTTTTTGAGGACATCACTGATCTGTTCAATGTAAGTCCTTCTCAGACGTCCTCTTAATACCCTTCCATCCACATTCGCATCATAAATCTGTTTGGTAATTCTTCTTACATCCATCCGCTCTACATGCCCCAACCACCTTAACATTCCTTTCTCTATTCTAGTCACTACATCCTTTTTCAAGCCACATGTTTCACATATTATTGTATTCTTCACTATACCACTCAACGTTATTCCACAAATTTTCTTCAAAGATCTCATCTCCACTGCATTAATTCTACTTTCATGCTTCTTCTGAAATATCCAACTCCCACTACCAAACGTCCGTGTAGGAACCAGCAAAGGATTGTGTATGGACATGCGTGCTTTTTGGGATAAGATGTTGCTCCCCATTAAACCATTTATGGCTCCATTTACTAGATTTAAGAGACAAGGTAATGCTGCGTAGCCTCTGTCTGACACCCTTAGAGATGCCAAACCAATAAGAAAATGCGCCGTCAACTCTGAAACACGCACTGGATTTCTCATACAGTAATTTCAGTGCGCGTATCAAGCGGCTCCCCACTCCAAATTCGGACAACAACCTCCACAGTACATCCCTCTCCACTCGATCATAAGCCTTGTCTAGATCCACAAATGCACAAAACACTTTTTGGTGCATTGCCAGGTACTTCTCCGTAATGCACCTTATAGACTTAATCTACACATCCCATTCCCTTCCTAAATCCCGTTTGTATAACCCATATTTTCTCATTCGTCTCTTTCACAACTCTCTCTATAAGAATCTTTGCATACAATTTGCCCACAATTCTAAGTAAACTGTTACCGCAGTAATTTTTGACTTCCTGGTGTAATCCTTTTCCTTTATAAAGTGGTACAGTAACGGCATTGCGCCAGTCTGTTGACACTGTACCACTAGTCCAACATTTGTTGAAAAACATACACAACCAAGAAGCCACCAGCTCTTTACCAGCCCTTAGCATTTCACCACTTACCCTGTCATACCCTGATGCTTTTCCTCTTTTTTAACCTTTTATAGCTTTTACAACTTCATCCATACTAATCTCTCCTTCCTGACTCCCTGTGTCCGGTTCCTGAATCATCTGCGGCGGAAACTGAGGCACGGGTTCATTACAGTTCCTCAAAACAACCTTTCCATCTCATTTTCACACTTGCCTCATCTGTCACTAACTCGCCAACTTCATCTCTCACGACATTAATTCTAATCTTTTGCGACCCTCTCCGGGCTACCCGGACCTGTTTCCAAAATAACTATTGGTTGGCCCGGAAATTATTGTTAGAAATAATCAATGAGTTAAATTAACTTTAGACCTAAAATTATTTATATAAACTTTATTTTATTTAAACATGACGAGTATTAAGTTGAGGTATAAAAGTTCCAACTGATCGGCTTTGTTTAGCAATACCTGAGTTTTTCTTCATATCGGGGTCCGGCCTAAACGGGAGGAAGGTCGCGCACTCAATACGTCCCTATGGAAATAGTAGGTAGTAATTTTACAATTCAGGACAAAGTGTTTCAAATCCTACCGATCAAATGTTTAAGAAAATTGCGTGCTGAAATTCTACATAAATGTTGCTATTTACTTAGGTAAGTGAGAGGAAATGCGATTTGGAACAATATATCATTATCGTTAATAAATAAATAAATAGTGTTTTTATCACTAATCATCAAACTAGCGATGCAACAGCAATCGACAGTTTAAAAAAAGTGGTAAAAAAATGTTACAATTCCCGCATTTTCCCCACATAGCTGCGCAACAAAACAATCCTCTCAAAATCGCCAATCGAGTTGTAATCCCCCGCAATTCGGGGAAATCCCTGCAAATTAGCAACACTGCCTCGAGAAGTATTGAAGGTGCTAGGAAATTTGAAATACGTACGTCATTCTGTTATGCGCGTTCATTCTGTACCTAATCAGGGCAACTTATTTCCATCCTTTAAGAGCGGATCCATCAACCGCCGCATTGAATCTATAAAGTAAAACGCGCTGTGATTGGCTGAAATGGACTATACCATTTTTATTTTTTACCCAATCATGGACATTAACAAGTTTGCGCATTACTCCCGTTTTTCAGAGGAATTCTCGAAGAATCTATACTTTCTGCAACTAATTGAAATTACCACCTTGAAGTAATAGACGAAACAAATGAAATGACATTCATGGTTAAAAATAGTTAGTTTTGGACAGAGGCGGTATTGTTTCTATACACTTGAAAGTTGAAATAATGTTATTCCCATGTAAAATTCAAAACTTTGAACATTTACAATTCGCAACAGTTATGGTTTGGAGCCGAACTACCATGGTATTTTTTTGTGTGAAGTAATATGGTTTGTATTTTGTCATCCACACATGTTTGTCATGTCACAGTGCCTCATCTTAATAAATAATTTCATTTGACACACTCGCAGGCAATCCACTGGGTATCTTTTGTGTATGCCTGTCACATATGGAGCGAAGCTATAAAAAGGCAAGGCGAAGCTCTTGCAGTGTCTTTGGACATTTCTAAAGCCTTTCACAGGGTCTGGCACGCAAGCCTTTTAAGTAAGCTTCCAAGTTATGTGCTTCCCACTGACCTTCGCAATTGCATCTCGGATTTCTTGAATGAACGTTCCATTCAAGTGGCCTTAGAAAGCTACTCTTCCGCACATCGGGCGATAGATAGAGTACCTCAAGGTTCCGTACTGTCTACAATACTCTTTCTGCTGAGTATCATTGATATGTGAGTGCCAGGTACCTATGCGTATGCTGATGACAGCACAGTTGTAGATAGGTATTTGACCAATGCCAGGGTCAGTGGAGAGGAAATCCAATCTTGTCGAGAGTCTATGGTTAGCAGTTTGGATTTGACACTCAACGCAGTCTCCGATTGGGGCGATGCCAATATTGTTAAATTTAATGCTACCAAAACGCAGGCAAAATCAAAATCAAAATGCAGCCTGAAAGCTTGGCATCCTTTCCAGGGCGAGGCGCTACTTTACACCGTGACAGTTGCAATATCAACCACAAGTCCGGTCGTGTATGGTGTACTGCTGCCAACTTTGGGATGGCTCTGCTACATACCATGGCCACCTTGGATTCAACTGACAAGCATGTCAAGAGGCTTATAACAGTAATACTAACACGTCGAGTATTATAACCATACTCGATGTATATTAATAACATAACAACTCCACCGATGTCTGATTTTAATCAACGAAACGAACGATATTGTGATAGTGAAGTAGCAGTGCATTTTGTTTGACCATGGTCATGAAATAAATTTTAAAAAATGTGTAATGACTACGCAGCATGGTCTCTGACCTTCGCCTGTTTCAAACGGAGCGAAGGAAAAAAAATGTCATTTTGATTTTGACGTATTTAAACTTATGTTGTAGGCGTTGCCAATTTGCGGGGAATTCCCCAAATTTAGGGGATTCTAATATTTCATCATTTTGTTTAATCTATAGATTGCTGATGCATCGCTAGTTTGATCGTTACTGTTAGAAACACTGCTATATTTATGTATTTTTCAACATCGTACATCCCTCACATGAGTAACAAGAAGCTTAAATATAATTATTATTAGAGCACTTGGTTTCGAATTGTAAGATTGCCAGTCGGTGCGTGTTGTGTTCGTGATCCTCTCTCCCGCTTAGGCCGGTCCCTGGTATGAAGAAAAGCGAAATCAGCTATTGATGAACAAAGCCAAGCCGTTCTTACTTCCACACTACAACTTACCACTCGTCAACTTTAAATATTAAATACAGGTCGAAACTTAATTTACTCATTGATTATTTCTAACATTAACATAGCGAGCGTCATCAAATGCGCAACGAATCAATAAGTCAAAATACTCGACTTGAGTATTGCAGTGAGCACTCGAAATCACACTCAAGTCCTTACTATTAGGGTCGTATTTCCAGTGCTTGAAATCATACTCAAATCTGCTCAAATCCTGACTTGAGCATTGAGTACAGTTCTGGATTACGACCCTTAATTTTGTAAGGCAAAGAAAATTGTTCTCTTTTTTTTTAAAGACTGATTAATGTTAAATCTAATTAAAATAAATAAACACTTTAAGTTCATCTAATTTTATAATTTGCTTTACATTTTACATTCTGTTTACATTCACATCAAACGTAATAGATGGTTACATTTTGAGTTTCTTAATTCTTTATAATATTTGTAAGCGATGTGTTTGTAATAAATAAAAAAAACTCGAAACGTGGAGAATTTGCGGGGAATATGAATCTTGCTTTCCCCAAACTTGAGGATTTTAACAGTCATTTTTGGATTTTTGGGGATTTTGAACAATTGGCATTGGCAACGCTGAGTAGTATTGTGATTGTGACAAGAAAGCTTTCTTCGTGTTCTTCAGTGCCAAAGCACGATGCGAATACGATAAAAAGATTGGAAAATATCTACATAGCTCTGAAAACTATCTAAAGCAAATATTTAACTATGTTTGCCAAACCTTATAAGTTGAAATCCATCAATACCCTTAAAAATTGTGATAAGTGTGTTATTTGTCCATTACCAATTTCATTTGTGGTTACTCTGTGTTTATTGAGTTGAAATTGTTAATGTTGTCTAGGAAGCAACTAGTGAAACGTATGCAAGATGAATTCCCTCCGGCAGACGAGGAGAAGGTGAAGGAGTTGGTACCGGCGAAGTCGAATGCTATATGCATGAAATTGGTCTTGCACAATGCCGAGACGGTGAGCGTGTTCGCGGTAAACAGCGTGCCCATCATCATAGACACGCCCGCCGGGCTCATCCCTACCGTATGCGCGCTCTGGAAGCTACACGATCTGCTGCCTGTTGTCACTCTTTACTCACCTGTATTGCCCAAAGTAAGGTTATTTATTATAATAATGTTATTTGCCTTCGTAGAGCTTTAGAATAGAAATGTGGTGTTTTAAATATTTATTTTATTATAGACGAACAGCTCTCGTTGATATGTCTGCATTACCACTAAAGTTTATTAGGCAAAGTGCATTTTTAAACCTTTTCTCATTTCTTGCACAAGAAACAGACTCCTATATGAGATCAGACCACATCATTGTATGTCCTTTGTATACCAAATCATAAATCACACATTCTTTATTACAATTGGGACAGTTTTTAGTTTTTAATGGTCTCACCACTAAGGATGCCGAAGACCGTGCAAAGTGGAGGAGAAAGAGTAGGAAAGCGGACCCCGGGCTCCGCAGCAACCCTGCTGAGGACGCAACCGGGACAACGCTAAGATGAGAGAGAGGACAGTTTTTAATTTTTCTCCCAACAGTTCAAAGCACACAGTGTTTCTAAATCCCGTTAGACCGGATATTTTGAGTAAAACTTAGCAAGTGATGAGTTTTAATATTTCAAGTGCAACAGAAATCTCCCGTGTGCCAAATTTACATGGTTTTGGAGAAAACTCCTTCAAAGTTCTTAATTTATACTTACAATACAAAATATTATTACCCTAATAGTAATAATAGTATTAAATACTTATTACCACAAATTAAAACCCCATTTATGTGGCTTTGCCACTTCTCCAAAATGCAAGTAGAAGTTGAAAAATTAAATATTTCCTTACAATAATTATAATTTTTTTATAATTATTTCTCATCAGTAATGACAAAACTAATTTTGAAATACAAGATAACCATGCATACTATAGGAAATGAAACTATTTTTCCGGATTTAAATCGCGTATATTTGTTTTTTCAAATAAACTGACGTTTCGGGCCCTTTACAGGTCCCATGGTCACGGTTGACTGAGGTGGTACAGTCTTCAACCAGTTATGTCTAATATTGATGCAAACCACCCTATTTTTTCACTATAGTTACAATAGTTATTAATTAAATACCTTATTTTTAATTTTACAAAGAAAACATTCCAATTTACGCTATGTTAAGTTTTACAAATTATTTTATTGAATGAATTTTTATTAAGTTCAATTTATTTTAATTATTAATAGAAATTAGAATAAACTAAAACATACAGTAGAATCTTGATAACTCGAATGTCAAGGGAAACCAAAAAAAATTCGAGATAGCAAGTTTTCGACTTAACAAGAATTTCGAGATATGAAGAGTTAACTCGTCAAATTTCGACATAAAAAGGCACAATTTCATAGAACATTTATTACGACAAATTACATTAGGTAACATAAAATGAGAGTCAAGTACATAATTATAATGAATGAACTTACACTTGTATTAATTAGTACTGCAGTCTAAGTCAGGCTTCGTGTAATGTTTTTATGATTTGATCATGATTTCTCGGATTTCTAACTCTGCTACTCTGCATATTTGGATAGCGTCTTTAGTGGGATAAACTAGACCATCTTCGTCCTTGTTCTGAACCGTAGAAGCGCCAAGTAAGTGTTTTTCAATCGATTAATTGAACGGAATACGCGTAAACACGCGTGTTCCATTCAATTAATCGATTCTAAATATAATAATTTTTGTTTAAGTATTTGTTGATCACGAGTAGTCGTAATATTAATTTAGTAGAAAAATACTAGAATAACATAGTTTAGTCCTTTATTTTACTTTAAAAAAAATGCAGACTTTACTGTTTAATCGACTTTAAATATTAAAATTATTATCCTTCCAGTAAAATGAGCTCGTTATATAATATCTTTTTGTAATAGATCTTATCGAGTAACTTAAATAATGAAAACACACCTCAATATATGAACTTGCGACTGTCTAATTTAATTTTACTAGATGGTTTTCTATTGGTAATTGATCAAATTGATGAATGGCAAGACAAATGAAAATGTTGCTACTGACAAAATATGGTATTATCTTATTAATCAGAAGAGGTTTACTTAACGATGGCCTTGTGTGAAATTTTTGTTATTTGTTTATTATTTCTCGGATTTCTAACTCTGCTACTCTGCATATTTGGATAGCGTCTTAGGTGGGATAAACTAGACCATTCGAAATTTTAGAAATTCGTCACTGAGATTCACACGACCGCGTTTGAATTCTGCAAACCAGCTATAAATAGTAAAAAGCAGTTTGAAGCCGAGCAAAGCTCCGCTGAGCTGTTAAATTACATTTAAAGTTGTAGAAAATCATACTACGAAAATTTTCACGAGTTAAATCCATGGTGATGTCCAATGTAAAAACAAGTGACAGTCAGATGAAATAAACTGTTTTCTACAGCCAAAGAGTTCCATTTTCAAATGTTGTAATTACTTTTTAAGTATTGTTTATGTAAGTGGCCATTTCCGGAAATTTATGGTGCGCCCTGTGTAGCTTTAATGTTTTATGTGTGTATTTTAAAATAGCCAATACTTTAGGTAGGCAACACTGTAATAATAATAATAGGCCTTATTGCTAATACAATTCAAATATTACAGTATACTTTGTTATTACAAAATACAATTCATTATTAAAAAAATATTAAATATATATATATATATATTATAGGTAACATTGACCTACCAACAAATGGACGTCGAATCTAATACAAACATCACGGAAAAAATGTCTGAAGTGAACCTGTACAAACGTGACATATAACGAAATTTATAAAAACTAAAACATTTAATTTAAATTGTAACGTCATTGCAGTACTGCGTAATTTTGCTTGCAACAATATAAGGGCCCAAATATTCAGCTTCTACTGGAAACTTAACAAACTGCACCATATTTAGGTTCGACTGAAAATTACTTGAACACAAGAGTAATGGAGCAGCAATTATTGTAAATATTAATTAATTTTCACATGTATTATTATGTCGAATTTTGTACAATTTCAATTAAAGAAATAATAAAAAGTTGTGTACATACATACAAATATTACAAATGTAAAAATAAGCGTGTACTATAAGAAATGTACCGATATTCCAACTAAACGTAAACTGTAACGTAAAATGTTCGTAATTCCGAAAACCGAATTATAATAATAAAACTGTTACGCTTTCAAGTAATTTTGATGCTTTTCACATAGACAAAATTAGCTTTTCTTTTGTAATATTCCTAAAAAAATGAAAATTCGGAGCAAACGTATTTTCTGACTTCTGATAGGTAATCCCAAGCCGTAATCTGATAGGTAATCCCAAGCTGTAAAACGAGTACAACAATATTTTGTTAGTTTTTGCTAATGTTTAACAAAAAATCATTTAAAAATAAGATCAAAATCAAAGCGACTCTATAGTTTCTTTGTTCTAAATATTTCAATCGTTTTTGTTCGAACAGCTGAAAATGATCAAGAAGTTTATATAAGCTTCTTGAAATTGATGGGGCTCTTTCCGTCTTTTGTGCATGCAATGTGCAGAAAAAGGACAGTTAGCTATATGATTATTTTGTTTGCTTTTGTAATTTGTATTTACGATTCATTTAGTTGTTATTATATGGTAATGCATGATTGACAACCACGCTGTCAGTCGAACAAACGAAGAGTTTTGCGCGATTGACGCTCTGCATGCGATTTTAACGCCCTATAAGTGAGGACACTTTTTAGCGCGAACCCGCGCGAATTTTGGTAGGTCAATGGTAGGTAAACATTTAATCATGCTTAAAATTTCCTGCATCTATTCTAAAATACAGTGCTTTACATTTTTTTATTTCTGACAGACCAAGTACAAAGACACGACGCAAGCACATAGAAAAATTCGTGAGGTCCGTTGGTTCGTTCCGTGGCTTAGTTGGTATAGCGTCTGGCACGGTATGCAAGAAGACGTGCGTCGGTTCGAATCTGACCGAATCGAAGGAATTTTTTCTGAGTGTTTTTTCTGAGTGTTCGATCTTTGTATTAATAATTATAACAAACTAGTGGAGTAATTTCACAAAAAATAATATAAACAGGACCTGTTTCACAGTTCATGGCGAGGAATACTTGTCAATCGAAGACACTAAAATTAATATATTTGGTAACTGTAATAGAAGACAGGGTAGACAGATAAGGCTGTCAAAATCAAACTATCTTTTAACACAAAAATGTAAAAGTCGACAAGATGATTTGTGTAATTTGCACCTTTACAGATTCAGCGAGGAGCACCTTTATATTTGCCTGGAGTGGTGATCCCGCAATGCGGAGTTGGCTTTCCCATGTTCAAAAGTGGCACATTGATTATGTGCAATACTCAGGACAACACTGCCGCTGCAGTTGTGGGTCGAACATTGATGTCCAGTGGAGACATGCTGCTTAAAGCTGGGTGAGATTACTGGAGAGCTCTACTCATATACTTGTCTAATATGAAAAAACAAATCTACTATTTAAAAAATGAGGAACAAGGAAATAATCACCTAGTAACTTTAACATGAAGATGTTTTAGCAGATACAGCTTCATTCGCAATAAACTTGTTATAATTTTCCCAGAGGAGTGTGTCTGGAAACAATCAATGTGATCGGCGACCTGCTCTGCAAGGAGCTGAAGTTCAATAAAATCGAGCGCCCGCAGCTGGGTAATGCTATATACACACGCACCATTAGCTCAGAGTCCACTAATGTCCTTGCTGAGGAGATTAGCACGGTAAACCTCTCTTAGGTACCTTAACTTTACATTGATGACAAGAAGGCTGTAATGACTATTTTTGATCATGTCATGTTTATATGTATAAGTATACATACTGTTTAGGATATACCTGAAGTAGATTAGGGATTAATTATGAAATAAAACTCATTTCTCTTAAGAAGGCAACAACTGTGTTCTGTTAGAATTGGTGCTGAAACACTTACTCATTATTTATTAAAACAAGTTAACGACTAGTTGTTTGGAAATAGTGTTATTGATACAAGTCTACTGTCATCTCTAGCTCCACATCCGTTCGTCCAGCCCGTCTCTGGACGAAGAGTGGCCCCGTCTCGAGGGGCGCTTGCCGCCTCTCGCGCCGCCACCCTCCGCGGCCCCCTTGCGCCCTCCGGCCTCGCTGACGCCGTCGCCCCCAGACAAAGCCGACGTCGCCGAGGTAGATGAAGATGTCACAGTGAATGCAGGTGACAATATAAAAATCTTTATATTGATGACTAATGGTCGGAAAAGGGTGCTCCACATTATATAGACATTAGATATAGCTGCAAGGAGCGACATAGAGTAGTTAAAACCCCCAAATGTAATTAATTACTTCTTTCGAATTCCGGATTTCCGGAAATTGTTTTACTTCATTGTGGGACAAAACTATTGACCTAGGAAATCTAAGTTAGATTTTAAAATACTTCTAATGGTGCCATGTAAAAAAATGCAGTGGATAAGTAACTGACCTTTTACCAAAGCAGAGAATAAAAAAGTGACGAGAATGATCACTCTCCGCTCCCTTAACTTTAGGTACCGCACCGTACTCCGCATATTGTCGGTCACTTTGACGGAACGGCAACAAGGCTGTGAACGAGCCATTCACTAAGGACAACATGTTGATGTTTAAACTGTTTAAATTGATTTATTACGAACGCACCTTTCTATTATGGTATCTTAAGATAATCGTGAAAATTGCCATGTACGGTTATTTGTCTTCGTTTAAATAGAATAAAGAGAGGAGTTTCTTTCGTTAAAAAACTTTTCATTAAATGTAGAATTTTCGACATAATTAACATTTAGAAAATTAAAGTCACAATAATCATTATAAATTCCATTATTCACTCCGAGTGTGCGTGTGTCTATGAGTGCCTACGAGTGTTTGCGTACTGCTTCATACTTATGCATTCGCTTCACTGTTCTACGATGCAGTATTTATATATGTGGGAAAAATACCTTTTTCCGATCATTGGTGATGAGTAGTAATAACATAGAAGGTACGGCAATTTTTTTTTGTTATGTCGTGTAATTGCCGGACACTAGATGGAATAGGGTGTTATTAGGAATTACTGGTCATTTTGTCTTTAAACTTCTCGGGGTTTTTAGGCTTGCGAGACGCGTGCCGGTTTGTGGGGTATTTAAATTGCGGATACAAACATTTACATTAATAAGTTTACTTATGTAAATTAATCGATGAATTCATTTTTCAGGGACCGAGTCGGACGTTCCGGTGGACATGGACGGCCTGCTGCGGTGGTGCTTGCTCGCCTTCATTAAATTCGAAAGCAAAAGTGTGGAGTTGCCGCTGAAGACCAACCTGCTTTACAAGTGAGGAAATTTGCAAGTTCGCCGATCTCCCGACGGGGCCACGGACGTTCTCGGTCGCGCGGTCGCAACGCGGGCGAGCGGACCGGCTCGCCCGCGCTTCGGTCGAGGGTCTACAACTGGACGATCCGCGAGCTCGGCCTCTCGAAAAGCGGCGTCTTCTCCGTCGACTTCCAGGAACCACATGATGCCCCTGTGCCCGCCGGGCCGCACCCTCGACGTGAAGAAGTCGTCGTACCGGAAGATGGGCAAGTTCCTCGAGGCCATGCAGAAGGTGAGACCGCGCGGCGCGCGCGTCGCCGGCGCGGGCCCACCAGCGAGCCGTTGCAGGAGGGGCTGCTGGAGGTGCGCGAGCTGGACAAGGGCGTGGCGGCCGTGGTGGGGCTGGCGGCCGCGCACCCCGCCGCGCGCGCGCTGGCCGCGCCCC